TAAATTGAAATGTATTTGTATAATCATAAAGGAAAAAAAACGAAGAGAATTTTTTTCTGAAAAAAAATCCATTCTTGTAGAAAGGAAGAATGTGTTTTTTTTCAATAATTTAAAACAGGATGCACACAATATTTGAATATCATTCATTGAATTGTGCGCGTTTGTTATCATCAATCAATTATTCATTATTTCTTTAAATTCCAATTCTTTCTCACTCAAATCATCACTTCAACATTGAAAATTATTCATCATTATTAATGTAATATAATCAAATTTGAGTTTTAAGTTTTTTTTTCTTGTTGTCGTTTCTGTTGTTGGTTTTATTTTATATTAATTTAATTCAATTATTGTGTTTTTTGTTTGTTTTTAACTTTATTTTTCATTTGATTAATATATATTGACTGTTGTTTTTAGTGATTTTTGATTCAATTTTTAATGAATAATACACACACAAACAAGCATCTACATATATCATAATTTAATTTTTTGATGAAAAAAAGAAACAATAATAATGATGTCTTGACAAAAATTTCATTTTTTTTTCTCTACCCAGAAAACCGGAACCAAAATAAAAATACTGGAAAAATACCCCATCACTGTTATGTTGGTAACAAAATAGCAAATTGATTGAAAAAAAAGTACTTAATGTAAAGAAAAAAGTACTTTCATATGGTTTACATCAAAAAATTGATTACACATGTTTCATATTTCCATATTAATAATAATAATAATAATGATGATGATCATCATTATGATCGAAAATTCGGATAAATAAATCAAATTACTATTATAGTAATGATGATGATCAGTGTATGTATTAGTAATAGTTCCAGATGAATAAATGTTTTCTTTATAAATGTCCACTTTTCTGTTGTTGTTGTTGTTTGTTGTTTTTCTTATTCATCTTTAATTATCCATGGTTTTTTTCTGGTCATTAGGTGTGTGTGTGTGTGTTTGTTTGAAATATTGTATATTCTCAAAAACCGTTCAAAATATACAGAAAACAAAACATAAAACAGTTTTTTTTTTGAAAGTAATTTTGTTTTGTTTACATAAAATTTGTCATTGATGTGTGTGTGTGTGTCCACAAACAATGTAACAAACAAAACAATTCAAATATAAAACAAACAAACAAAATTCCAATGATGAATTTTGATCACATGTATTTAAAAAAAATGTGAATGAAAAGAACAAGCAAATAGTTTGGATAGAAACAAAAAACCAATTTAGATAATGATAAATGTTGAACAAAAAAAAAACACATAAGACAAAAAAAAAGATCACAAAATGACCATAATATCCGGTATACATCGGAACAAAACAAAAAACAGCAACATCAACGTCAATAACAATATAGGAATAGTAATGTCATAAAAGTAATAGAAGATATAAAGTCAATTTAAATTTATTACAAACAAAAATCATTGCCGTATTCGATCTCTCAAAGGATTTTTTTTTTTTTTTTTTGAATACTTTTTTTTGTTACAGTGAAATATGGTTATTTGAATGTTATACACTGAAAAAAAAAACAGAATTCTCAATTCGTTTCACACGTTTTCATGGTTATAAAAATATATATCATATATTTCTTTTGATACTATTTTACTATCAACATTTTGATTCTTTCACTTTTTTTTCTCCATGTATCTGTTATATTGTATTATTCATTTCAAGCATGTATTTGATTGATTTCCGTTTTTTAATTTTAGTTGATTCTTTTTTTCGTGTTTGCGTGCATTCTTTATGTGTTTGTTTGTGTGTGTGTGTGTGTGTGTGAAACAATCTAATCTAATCCATCATTTGATCAATGTTTGATTACAACCACATAACCACAAACACACACACACACACACACACAAAATCTAATGTTTAATCAAAATGATCTAGAATTGATTGTATGTGTGGTTTTTTTTTGCTTGATTCTCATTTTCTATATATATGTATATAAACATTTGTTGTTTCATTTATTCATATCCCTTTCTTTGTTGTTGTCAATCAATTAATCGTTGATCTTGTTTTTTTTTCTTTCTAAAAAAAATTTGTTAATTGAATTCCATTAATTTTTTTTTCTCTTGTATATACTAATTAATTACCTTGTGTCAATGACAAACAAGCAAGCAAACCATAACATTTTTGTATGCTTTGATCATAGTTGACAACACACAACAAATACAAATTGTTATCCATTTATTTTGTCAAATGTTCAACGAATGTTAAGAATTAAGAGATGCACAAAAAAAAGACGGCGATTCCATAGATCTAAAATAACACTTCTCAAAATGCCATAAATCAAAAAGGACAATGTCTGGCTAAATGGAGATGTTGGGAACAACTGTTGAAATGATAATCTGGCATTGGAGACCCTACTCACAAATGCTTCATTGATGAGATCTGTTCAGCCTGGAAGAAATCTGGCACTCAAGTATGGATGTCAAAATCGATTCTCGAGAGACATGTTTTATTTGATCAATTTGATGTTGAATATTAATCAATTCATGAACAACCTTCCTCATGAATCTGTTGGATCTAATTTCTTGATTTCTATCTCTGTCAATGACTGATCAGAGATTCCATTCTGACTTTTGATGTATGAGCCAAACATTACAGCTGCTATGACGATGATCGATGTAAATTACCTCCACACCGGACACAAATGACACAATATCACGTCGAGATTTAGATGTCGTTTCTTTGACCAACTTGTTATATAACTTCTTCACACGTATCCTTTTCAAATTTATAGCTGAAACCGCTGGTGATGTTATTTTGATTCAGCAACGACGATTTAATCACCTCACATGGTGGTTTGAGATGAATGTTAATTTGTGCATTTTACATAGTCAGTAGCAACTTCGATGTTTTGACCTTCTCCAAATTAACGGGAATACTGGTGAATCTAACTGTGACCTTTATGATAGACGTAGAAAATATTATAATGCTGATTACATTGATGCAGCAGAATATTTTAATGTGTTTATGATGCATATTCGGTTACGATGTTCACTATAGATGATTTGATTGATGAAAAATCTATGCTTAATATCTACACTCATAACTGTTTATGGATATAATTCTTTTCAGTTTTATTGTTTTGGGACGCAGTTTTATTCCATACAATGGTAGATTTTATGATGGCGAATATCTGATTTGTCGATGACGATTGGCCGTTGACTTGTCGTAACTAATCTGGTTAGTAATTGAAGTTGATGTTGATGAGTAAATTTGTGGATACAGGTAAGTTGAATCTACATCAGAATTTCTTGCTATCATATTCTCTTCTAACTCTGATTGCTCATGCGCTGTATGTTTTGCTCTTTCCTTCATCAGATTCTTCTGAAATCCACACTCGATTATTTGTATTTGCCGATTTAAGATTTTCAATGTGAACAATTACTTCCATGATTATTAACTGATATTCCATACACTACTGAAGAGTATCAGTAATAATTTCAAATGACTCCTCTCATATCTAGGATCTAACTTTCTCTCTATTCAATTCATTCGCAATCTTAGCAAAACCCAATCAACGCTCAAACTTGTCTATTAATTTTCTTCGATCATAATATCTTTGTTACGATTATGATCCTGACATGATCGTTCATATGCCATGCTTCTTGCCCTTCATCCAGATCCTCTCCTTCATAATATTCATATCTGGATCATCACCTTTCAATAGAAAATCCTGAGCATACCGAGTCACGGTATGAATGGTTGAATTATATTCAACTAAAGTTTCCATATGCGAGAAAGAGAAAAAAAATTCTTGAAATCAATTGACAGTATAAGGATAAGGAAGATGAGATTGAGAAAGATGAAAATGAGGAAAAATATAGAAAAAGTAAATGGATTCTACAAACACAGAAATACACTCGAATATAGAATACGGTCATCATCTTTTATTCAGTTTAGAAACTAGAATCCAAATCAAACATCAAACAACAACAAAGAATATTCTATATATATAGATTCTATTGATTTTAATCGTATTTGAATCATCGTTGTTGCTGTTGTTGTAGTAGTAGTAGTAGTTATTATTTATTGTTTGCTTGAATATTTATTATTTAAATTTTACAATGAAAAAATAAAGAAAGAGAGAGAGAGAGAGAAGAGGTCCCTAGCCGATGTTTCTTCTTTTTCCATTCTTCATTTATTCAGTTCTCTTGTTGTTGTTGATGTATAATCGGGTTACACATCTTCATTCATTTGTTGTTGTTGCTTAGGAATATGATTTCCATTGATGGTGATGATGATGATGATATCCGATATGTATTGTACCAGTGTACCAGTCATTCGTTGTTTGTTTGGCTGTTTTTTTTTTATTCAAATTTCATATTTTTTTTTTTTTCGTTGTTTAAAATTTGAAAAAAAAATTTAAATTTTGAACAACGAAAATATTCTTGTAAAGTATAGTCAATGTTTGTATTGTGTGAATGTGTGTTTGAAGGTGTGTATTGTAGTCAATAAATCATATTGATCTTTACGATGATTATATCGTGAATGGAAAAATTCCTCCTATGTTTTTTTCTCATTATAATGAGTAGGTGTGTGTGTGTGTGTGTCAAACGTGTGGAAAAAAATTTTTAAGAATTATCTCATTCATTTGATTCATTATTGTTAAGGATCAGGAGATAATAATCACGTTTAAAAATGGTTTTATTTTTTAATAATCAAGAAAGAATTTATGAATGAAACTGAATCAACCTTTCCATCATCTGCTTTGCAGTCTCACAACTGGATATACGATGAAAATTCGTCTCATTAACCGTTCTAACGATAAAAGCCATTCCCATATACTTTCTCGAATCTTCTGCGTCGTTTACGTTGTTATCGACGACATACTTCCAAAGACCTTTGCCTTTCATCGTCAACATGATCTCCAAAGACCATCGATGAAAATTTGTATCGTCCAAAATACAAATATCTGGCAGCTCTTGCGTAGATGAGCCCATAACCTATTAGAATTTGCAAGTGGCTTGAAAGTATATGATTCAATAATAATAATGGATTCAATAGTTTGGCTTTAAACGGTTTTTAATAATGATAAATAACTGCTAATCATGCTTAATTTATAGAACTTGTTCACTATTGATCGTACTAATCAAATACGCTCAACAGTGACATTAATCAGTAATTCAATCTTTCTTTCAACAATTCCAACATTTTGTGATCCATTCGATTTATTATTTACTGAAGATGATATTATTGATTTTTACAAATCAAACGAAATTATTTCCATACGAAAAGAAGATCTACAACAACCAAGCAAAGAATTTGTTATTGAACTTTACATGCTAATTTTAGAAAAATTTGACAAGTCTATTAATATTTATCAACCAGATATTTTGGCTTGTATCAACGGTCTGAATGATCATATGGAACAAACATATTTGGCGATTAATGTCTTTCACTGCATCAATTATTTTGTTTCAAGTATTGGCATGAATGATATGAAAATGATTGACATTTTAGAACCGAAACGTGATCGAACGATTCGTATTCTTCATTCATTGGCTACTTTTTATGTTCGATATAATGATTTGAATGACTCTTGGTTTAAATATAAAGAAAAATATTCCAATATTTATCGTGAACGCAAAGAATTGGAAAAACGTAATGCAAATCTTAAACGTTCGATTAAAGATAAATCATCACCATCTACATCTTCATCAGTGCCATCATCATCCAAATCTGCATCATCATCTTCATCAAATAATAAATCGAATGGATCACAAAAACAAGATGCAAAGTCAATTATGACAAAAAATATTGATAAATCCTCAAATTTGTGGATTCTCGATTCAGGCTGTACCACACATACCACAATTAATGATAAAGATCTTATTGATCCTGAATTTAAGAAAATTCAATTTGAAACAGCTAGTGGTGAAACAGTTGAATCTGAAAAAATTGGTGATGTCATTATTAAACCAAAAGCCAATCAACAATTGATTCTTAAAAATGTTGCCTTTGGTAAATTTAACTCGAACTTGATTTCCATTCGACAATTGCCTTTGGATTATTTCCAATTTATTTGACTCGAACATCAAACGGATGGTACCGAGACAATTTTCATATGAATTGTATTGAGGATCATTAGGTAGAATTTCACTTTCAAGAAATTTACTATAGCCACAGGATCGAAAAGCAGATTTAACCGTTGATAGCCATATTTTGATGTTCGAACCATTGTATTTGACAACTTGATTCAAAGCAAAATTTTCATGATTATTTTTTACAATATTATTACCATTATTATTTGAACGACTATTAGTCGATTCAATTGTCTCTAGTCTTGAAGTCAACTGCTCCAATACCCGAACAATATTTTCCGTAAATTTATTATCACCCATGATAGACCGTCGTTAACCACGAAGCTCAGCTACCAAATGTTAAGGATCAGGAGATAATAATCACGTTTAAAAATGGTTTTATTTTTTAATAATCAAGAAAGAAATTTTTAATCATAACACAAAAAAATCAATACAACAAAAAACACGTTGTTTTTCAAAGTTGTAAATCTTATTCAGATATAACGTTATATCCACAATATTTTTAACAATTATTATTCAATTCTTTAAAAGTGAGTATAAAAATCAAATCAAATCAAATTTCAATTTAATGAAAATTCTGAATATTGAAAAACATCAAATAAAGCGTGTGTGTGTGTGTGTGTGTGTGTGTTTTGCTTGGCCTGAATGTTTTTTGGTGTCCAATATAATAATAATTTCATTGAAACGGAAATTAAATTGTTTTTTTTCTGCCTTTCTTCTTTTTTTCCCGAATCTCTAAAACGACACGTCATCTATGCATGTGACATTCTACAGATTGTTTTAAAATTCTTTTCGCACATGATAATAATAATAATAATGATAATGATAATATAACAGCATCATTGGATTTAATTGAAATCAACCAACCGGATAAATAAATTGAATTGAAGGATTTAGCTTTGAAAAGAAAGGAAAAAAAACACAAACGAAACTGTATCATTTATAATAATGATGATCTTCATGATGATAATGATAATCAAAATCAGTGACTATTAATAATGATAATAACGGCCATTTTAAAAGTATGTTTTTTTTTGTTTTTGGCCATCCTGATGTGAATACATTACATTACCATGGTATTCATATAGGTCCTATAGCCATTGTCATTATCATTATGATAATGACTATCATTTCATCTTCATTAAAAATAAACACATAATATTGTAACGAACATTTGTTTTTTTTTTCAATTTGTCAACAAGTTTATTCTATTTTATTAAATTTTTTTCCCCACCTTTTTCAACTAAATAAATATACTGATTTTACGATAAAACTCGTCAACCGTCAGAAAAAAAATGAAATAAAATAAAAAACAAAACTGAATTATTTCTCATTTGAATAAAAACATTTTTTGAATGTATGTTTGTGAATTGTGATGATGGTAAACTCACACACACACACACACACACACACAAAATTAAATATTGAAATTTTTTCCATTACATTTACCAATTATGAAATGGTGATAATAATAATAATAAAATTTAAAATTAAAAATTTTCTCATCCACACCATTAACAACAATTTATGTCAATTTCATGTTAATGTTTATTGTGTGGGCGTGTGTCAGATTTATCTCTCTTTTTTTGATACTAGTTTTGAATTACAATTTGAAATATTTTTTTGCAAAAAATTTTCCCATTATAATGCACATACAGTAATACCCCGCTTAACGCTGGGGTTATGTTCCAAAAATTCTGAGCGTTAAGCGAAACAGCGCAAAGCGGGGATATCTTTACATAATGCATTTTTACCCTTCATATACAATGTAACAATGTAATGCAATGTAGGGTAATTATACAGCGTTATATCGAATCAGCGCTAAACGGGGCAGCGTTAAGCGGGGTATGAGTGTATATTATTATTATATATGTATATATGGTTAATGGCTAGTTTTTTCTCACTTTTGTTTCTGAAAATTATTATCATTATGATCGATCATTTATGTTTGTTTTTCCTATATTTGTTACACAAATAAATCACCATTTTTTTTCTTGGGGTGTAAATATGATTTTCAATCAACCGTTACGCAATTATTGACTGAATTATCAACAAATTATATCTCGTTTGTTCCAGAAACTCTCAAAACCAAATAGACTGAGTACAAAAAATTTCTTGTTAATAGATTTTTTCTCTTCTTTTAATAAACATTAAAACAAACAACAAAAAGAGAACCTTCACACCCATTTTACTATCAAATTATTGCCAACACCAGCAAGTCATTCACCAATTTATTTAATTTCAATTTATTTGAGGCCATTTTGTTTCCAAATTTTTATTTCCGATATTTATGCATGCCACATGCATACACACACACACACACACACACGTGAAACCACAATGCAGACATTTTTTTTAAGAAAAAAAATTAACCATCATTATGAAATACTAGGAAGTTTTCCTTTAACATAACTCTATACAGTAAGAATTGAGTATAAGAAAAGAATGAAAAATTTTTTCTTTTATTCCAAATTCATAAATGTGTGTTTGACATTTTTTTTTTTTTACGACGACGACAACGACGACTATGATGATGATGATGGGCCAAATAAATTGTTGTTGTGGTTGAACCCCCATCCCCCCACTTTGCCACCACAACCACCATAGAATGGGAGAAAATTTATTTCAATTTAAAAAAAAATATTTTTGCTTTTTTTCTACTCTACTCTTTTTTTTCCTTGCCAGCACATTCATTGCAATTAAAATATGAGAATTTTTTCTGCTTTGCCGTGAAAATAAATCGAAGAATTTCGTCTTTTTCTTTAATTTTTGGCCAAAAAAAAAGAGAATTGAATTTTGTTAGTTAAATGATTATATGGTGGCAGACAACCAACCAACCAGACACTCACATGATAATGATAAAATGAATCAAGATAAAATTCAAAAATTCTTTTCGAATAAGTTATTGGCAGTGGTTTTTTGAATTGAAGAAATATGAAAAAAGTAAAAAAAAAATTAAAATGAAAATTTCCGTTTTTTCAGCAAAAAAAAAAAAAAAAAAAAATTCACTTCCCATCAACTATGTGCAAAAAAACTTTTCAAAATGAAATCATTATTTTCGTCTTTTTTTTTTTGGTTGGTTGGAACACTTCTGGTATCAAAATCAATGTCGCTTACCATCATATTGTCGTCATATTTTCTTCCTCTTCTTCCATTGATCTATACCAATTCCCGATCACGAATAAATTATTATTATTATTATAGATCATCATCATTCAAATAACCACGGACGCAAACACAGTGTGAAACCCACAAAAACCGTTTATATTTTTTTTTTAAGTACCAAGCCTTACGATGATACAATTTTTTCTCCAATATCTACGATTTTAGTAATTTTATCGATTTTTTCATCATTGAATTCGAAATTTTTGTTTATTTGTTTGTTTCATTTCATTGGAATAAATTAAAATGGTTGACAATCAAACTTGAAAAACAATAAAATTCTTCCATTTTTTCCAATGAATTTATTGTCGATTATTCAGGTGGCCAAAGTAAAAAAAAACTGATGATGAATTCACTTTTTTTTCTTTTTTTTTTTTTTTTCATTTTGGAAAAAAAAATTTCTGACAAAATTAAATAATATCAAATGAAAAAAAAAAATTCGACATCCTCATTGTTTTACTGGTTGACTGGTTGGTTGAATGGTTTTTTCTTTCATTCATTTGCTTCGTTGCCTTTGTTTTCTGATTCGCCAAAAGGTATTAATATGAAATTTTGTTTTCTGTTTGGTTGAATATTGTCTCTTTAGTCGTTTTGGTCGTCTCAAATTTAACTTTTTTTTCTGCTTTAGAGTTCTATATGTTGTTGTGTTGTTGGTGTTGTTTTTTTCCATTTTTCTTTTTCTCATTTCAACATTTGAAAAATTTCAAATTGAATGAAATGAAAAAAAAAGAAGAAAGTTTGCCCGATTTATGTGAATCATATTTTTTTTCTTTACTTCAGGAAATTTAATTTTAATTTTTTTTTCTCTTGTTTCATTTCATAGTATTTTCCATATTTTTAAATTGAATTTTCACTTCTTTTTTTTTGTTCATTCAAAATATCCAAATTGCTTGTAGATGTTTTTGGATCAATATCAGGCTTTTTTACAATTTTTGTGTTGCATTTTCTTTTGTTGTTGTTGAAAATGAAACTTTTATGTTTTTTTTTTGACCATTCTGATTAGTGAATACAATGATGATGATGATGATGGAAATAAACTAACCGGCAAAAAAGCATGAAAAAAATCAGAAAATTTGATAAACTTTTTTTTAGTGAATAAAAGTTAAAAATGTCTGTGGTCAGTTGTCTAACTTTTTCGTTTCAAATTTTATAAAATTTGTATTTATACCAACAACATCTGTAAAAGTGTGTATTTTATATGAATCATATAATATGATGGAACATAGTTCAAGTAAAATGAATCTAAATCAAATTTAATCAAGATTTTGACCAAAGAAAAATGAATTTTATTTTTTTTCACACATACAAAACTCATTCACAATAAAACACACATATAATGAAATCAATACTGAAAATTTTCGATAAATAGACTAATTGTTACGATAAGCATCACATCGATCCCGATAGATATTTTAATTAATCAATCGAATTATTTTCGATGATTATAAAAAAAAGCTGCGATGGATGTCGATGTTTTTTTTTTGAAAAAAATCATAGAAATTGAAGAATTTCATTAAAGAATTTTAGTTTCTTACAATTATTAAATTATCATTTGGTTATGATCAATATTATTGAGTTATCATTTGAAACAAAATAAAAAAAAAGAATTTTGCACTATGAAAAAAGAAGCTTAAAAAATCTAATTCTATCCATATTTGTATTTTTCTTTCATCTTTAGAATATCATCATATATGATCATCACATGATTATTGCCGTAATTACATTTGCAAAGAATATACTAAAACCATTGATCGAGTTTGATGCCAAATTTTATTTTTGTTGTAGTTGTTAATATTGCATCGAATTAAATTAACTATTTTCATTCTGGCTTCAAATTTTGTTTCATGTTTGCAATCATTTTGACGAGTAGTATATGAGTGTTTGTGATCGAAAAAAAATATCATTTCAATTATCATTATTAGTATTCATTTAGTGTTATCTTGAATGAGAAAAAAAAAGTGAAAATACAGATAGTTAGTGGGTGTGTGTGTGTGTGTGTGTGCGGGTGTATGAGTTTCTTATTCACACTTGATTCTTTGCACGGTTTCTATACTTGAAAAAAATATGGCTATCTGAGTGTCCCGTATATCCGATTGGTGTCCACCATTATACACAAAAGTGTGCCATGATCAAAAGTATTTATTTGCCAATCATTTTTGGTTTCTTTTTTCTGATTCTTTATTCTCATTGTATGTTTTCCAGTAATGTGTGTGTGTGTACATACGTTTCACATTTTTATATTAGATGGTAAGAATAGTACTGTCGTTTT